CCAAGTGACATGGTAGACATGAAGGAATAGAAAAATGACGATTATTCAAATAGTACATGTTTTAGCTATTATCGTACCACAATTTCCTATACAGAGTACCTGTTATTGATCAATTAGTACCTACTTTTGGTCAACCAAGATGAATTATTTCAATTGTGGTCAACATTTAAAGAAAGTAGTACCAGTCATAGGGTAACACAGTACCACATTATAGTACTTTAGTACCACATATCATTTCTTTAGTACCACATGTAATGAACATATTAAAACACCGAATTTCGATCGCAAACTATGTTTATACGACCCATGATCACTCTCACATTAGTTTATAAGAGATTTAAAAATATTTTCATTGACTTTAATCATAAAATGGTCATGAACTCCACATACTAATGAGAAAACACTACTACTACACTTCATTTTATGGAATGAAACACTTCATCTTATAGAATCATCATACATGACTACTCCAATTTCTACCTATATGTTTTAACTTCCACTGTTTTTCACCCAAATCACGCGTTAACGGTCTAAGTGACATGGTAGACATGAAGGAATAGAAAAATGACGATTATTCAAATAGTACCTGTTTTAGCTATTATAGTACCACAATTTCCTATACAGAGTACCTGTTATTGATCAATTAGTACCTACTTTTGGTCAACCAAGATGAATTATTTCAATTGTGGTCAACATTTAAAGAAAGTAGTACCAGTCATAGGGTAACACAGTACCACATTATAGTACTTTAGTACCACATATCATTTCTTTAGTACCACATGTAATGAACATATTAAAACACTGAATTTCGATCGCAAACTATGTTTATACGACCCATGATCACTCTCACATTGGTTTATAAGAGATTTAAAAATATTTTCATTGACTTTAATCGTAAAATGTTCAATAACTCCACATACTAATGAGAAAACACTACTACTACACCTCACTTCATAAAAAAGACACTTCATCTCATAAACTCATCATACATGACTACTTCAATTTCTACCTATATGTTTTAACTTCCACTGTTTTTCACCCAAATCACGCGTTAACGGTCCAAGTGACATGGTAGACATGAAGGAATAAAAAATCACGATTATTCAAATAGTACCTGTTTTAGCCATTACAGTACCACAATTTCCATTACAAAGTACCTGTTATTGATCAATTAATACCAAGTAAAGGCAACTCGCGAGGTAATGGCGATTCGCGGGATAGGCCATATATTTGCGTGCGCGAATTTTAGTGTCTGAAACTGGTCCCTAGCTCGCGAGTTTGCTTTAGCTCGCGAAAATGGATTTCGAGGGCGCGAATTCTAGAGGGATGAGAGTTTACTTGGTATTTAGAAGTGGTACTGAAGACCAAATAACAGGTACTACCGTAATATAAACGTGGTACTAGCGTACTCTATAACTGGTACTACCCACTGTTTGCGATGAAAATAAGTACAAACATATTGCCACAAAACTAATACCTATATTGCAAAAGAAGAGTGCCTGCTTTGACGTTCTTAAGTACCCATGCAGAGTTGAAAAAACATATGAAAATGAAAAATCTTTTATATCATTCTTTATATGTACTGTAGCACTACTTGCAAAATATTCATACAGTACATACTCGGAATACGTCAATAATGTCTCATCAGAAAAATATTCCGACCGCAAAAAAAAAACTGACTAAAAACGACACATGCCAACACACTTGCCAACAAAAAAAATACATCACCGATCTATATACGTTCTTTGCACGTACGTCGATTGTGCCCACGACCACCACAACGCTTACACCGCCTAACTGCAACATCAACTTGTGAAGGAAACCTTTTTTCCTTCCTTCATCCGGGTTGAGATCGTACATCCGGGGCATGAATGACATCGTCATGATGCAATGAGGAAGATGCCACATTGTGGTCGTAGTTAGGTATAGGGTTAATAGTACCATGATAAGC